CCCCAAAACCCCAAAACCCCAAAACCCCAAAACCCCAGAGGAAGGATATTTAGCTGAACATCTCATATATTAATTGTTATTATTCCTAGGCATCTTGAAAACCTTAATATTTTTGAGGTCACGTTGGTATTGTTCGCTGTGGATTTGAGGATTCCGTTTTGGAGTCTTAGTGCTGATAATATTATTTTGTCCATGCTTTCTTGCTTCATATACTTCTTTCAGAACCTTTTTTAGTCGTTCTCTTTCCTTCTCTTCAGTTGTCTTCTTTTTACACTTTTTACATTTTTTAGCGCATTTTCTGAGTGAGCTTATGACCTTCAGCGGAAGTATCAGTCCCCAGTTGATTATAAAGAAAACAGCAATCATGCTAATACAGATGAATCCTAAGAGATTGGCTTTGTTTGCATCACTTGGGTTAACGAAGTTTAGCAGGACAACTCAGAAAATTACCAGAAATACCTCATTCACACAGTTAAGAAAGTTGCTTGTTTGCGTTTTAAAAGGCCGGTGTATGACTTGGTACTTTGCTATCCAGAAGAACAGTATTGTCAGACAGACTATTTGGATCCGTGCAAAATTTTGCAACCCTATCACAACTACAGCAATTAGAATTCTTCTGAGTGTGAAGTATGAATAGAACAAAACTCATTTTATATGCTGAGTCTTGAACTCCAAGAACAAAAAGCAATGTCTCTCATGGTGGTCTGGATAAATTTGTAGGTCCTTAAAATATATCATCGGCCAAATGGTTGCATACAAAAAGACAAATACAAGCAGGAAGAACAGTACAATTGCAAATACTAGAGAAAGAACTTCAAACACTGTATCTGTTGATCCATAGAACACATTAATCATGATGGAAATACACAAATTCATCGAAATTTCAACTATAAATCTTGTTGATGACTCATATCGTAATGACTTGTCAACCTTATCGATCTTTTTAGCGATCCAGCTCTTCTTCTTCTCGAAACACAGGAAGAGTAAATAAACCAGGATGACGGTCAGTCCTAAAAGGAAGATCAAGAATATCTTATCAAGCGAGTTGATGATGACGTTAGATGAGCCAAATCCCAAGTCTTCAAAGTCTTCATTGATGGGTGATGATACAAAGCTGAGGCTACTTAGTGATATCTCGGAAAGCTTCTTAGTTATTGGGTTATCGAAGTTAGAATATTTCATGTAAGAATATACTGCTTTGAGATTTGAAGGATAATGCAATCTCAAAAGTCCTAGGATAAATACTATCTGTAAAGTGTTTGTTAAACTCCACATTAGTTCCATTGAAGATCCTGTCAACACACTTACGCCAATAGAAAACCCAAAGGTGAGGAAGAACATGATTGTTGCGCCAGAGCCTGTTGCTTCTGTCGTAGCTGAGGCTGGAATTTCTCCAAACTGGTATTTATATTGCATACTATTTGATATTGCCATATTATCCTGGGAAGTAAAAGCATTGACATCTTCAAGTGAAACTTGTAAGATCTCTCCATTTCCTCCTAAAATTTCAGGGATTATAGAGTATTTGATCTTAAGCTCTTTCTCTTTCTCAAATGATGCTATCCAGACTACTTCATATGAAGAGGAGGGAGAGGAAACACTCATAGAGATTTCTCCTCCAGTAAAATTATGCTCTATCATCGAGTCATTAAAAGTGTAAACTATTTCAGAGGTTTCTATGGTCAGAACATTCTTAGATATAATCGGAGGAAAATATTTTGAAATTCAAATGTCTCTAGCAAGTGCAACATCATTAGTTCATATGTAGTTTTCTTCAATATTGCAGGAATAATCACATCCATCCAAACTCATAGAATTTTTGTCATCACATGTTTCTCCTGAGTCTCGAACTCCATTGCCACATTGGGGAGAGCATATACTAATCTCTCCATCTAATCCTGTGCAAACATTTTTGGGTTCAATTTTGCAATACCGATCTCACCCATCTCCACTTGAATTATTTCCATCGTCACACTCTTCAGAATTAGTTGACTGCTTCTTACCATCCCCTCAGTACTCAATTAAAGTTCATTGACTAAGATAGCCATCAGATCCAGTACACTTATAGTATGCCTCAATTGTGCAATCCTGATGTCAACCATCCCAATCTACTAGGTTTCCATCGTCACATTCTTCTCTAATCGATGACTGTTTCTTGCCATCTCCACAAACAAAAGGGATTCATTGGCTAAGTTGTCCATCTGCTCCACTGCAGGAATATCCTGTCTCAACTGTTCAGTTCGAGGCTCATCCGTCTCCATCAGTAAGGTTACCGTCGTCACACTCCTCGCTATCTTCTGATTGCTTTATTCCATTACCTCAGCTTTTCTCTCAGATGGATGTGCTAAGATGAGTCGAATAGCAAGGAGGGGTACCCTCTTCTTGGCAGTACTGATCTCATCCATCTCCTGATACTGTGTTGCCATCATCTCATCCTAATACCTATGCATTAGCTAGAGGACTTACTTGAGGGGTCTCATAGAACACTCCATCACCGCAAGTCTCAAAGCAGAAGGAGCCAACCTTTTCGAACCCAGCTGTGCAGTTATCTGGACCTGGGCTTTGATGAAGAACTCAATTCTCAACAGGCTCTAGGTAAGTTTCTAGAGATTAACAGAGACGCTTACGGCAAACATCAGAACCTCCTGAGGGGTAACTGGCATAACCTTGTGAGAAGTTGTAAGCCGCTTCTCCATCACCAGTAAAGCGAGGAAGCTGCTCATAGACAGCTGAGTGGCTAATAGCGTACTTGTATAACTTTAAGTTTGCAAGAATTATATTCCGAGAGTTAAGCAAAAAGTGGACCTTTTCTTGAGTTATTAAGTGGTCTGTCTCTGTACAGTTATCTATAAGCAAATTACACATTCAAAATTAAAGAGAAAAATGTTTTGAGCCAAACTAGCACTTACACTTTTGTTCTTCTGTTCCTGAAGATCCAGGGGAGTACATTCTTTTATAAAAATATCATACTTTTTGGTGAGTGCTGTTTAGTTTTGCATAACTAACTAATACTCTATTCCACTCTTTAGTTTGCGGTAAATCAGAACTATCAATAATACTAGTTTCATAAATTTTAGTGTTGGTTGGATTCATCTGAAAACTTGGTTTCAAACAAGTACCATTACCTATAATTGTTAAATCACTTGGTTCTCCTAGGACACATTTTCCAGAATTTCTCTTGTTGATAATTTAAAATTTCCAAATCCCAAACAAAGTCTTACTTCGAAGGCAAATATACAGATTTATATCACTTGCATCCTTGAAAAACACGTCCATTTCAAAGGTCAACTGAGCAGAGTAGCCGATCTCTATCATCTGAATAAAATTTGGAGTAAGATGTATCTGAGTATATCCAGCCCATGTTGGTGACTGCCATGCGGTAATAAGTGGGATAAATGCTCTTCTTTAAATAGATAGAGGTATTTCCTCCTGAAGAATCAATTCCTTGACTATATCTGAGATTAGGGGCTTGGAAAAAGAGATGTCTAAGTGTTGTGCAAAAATGAAGACAATAAATATATCTAGATCTTATTCGATGTTTGTACATCAACAATGTCAATTTAAAATTCAAATAAATTCTAGAATATTCTGGTTAATCAAATCCTGATATAGCAACTAAGTGTTTATTTTTGAAAGTTCTCAAAATATCCTAACTCGAAGACATTCAGATGGAATAATTCCCACCATCTTTTGTCTAACTCAAAAGAGCAAAGACTTACTTGGTGACACGGTTATCTTCAAACCCATTCTGAGCTGCATCTTTGAGTTTGAAATGGATAGCAAAAGCATTAGAGTAATTGGAGATCAGCCAGTCCCTAAGTTCGTTAGATCAGGGTTCAAATTTGTCTTGGAAGCATATCCTGACGATTACACCCACTAGGGAGTGCGTGTAAGAAGACCAGTCTTCTGTGAACCCTCCAATTGTGTAATGGCTTGAGTAAACTGGGTCCGTAGTAGTGGTGGTATCTGCAATGCTTGCACAAACTCTTGTAGTAGCATCAGTCAGATAGCACAATTCCAAATGATTGCTGTTTGAGGGTCCAAAACTTGCTGGGTTTTCTGCATTAAATAAGAAATCGTATACATCCCATCCTCCTGGGTTATTTCCATCAGTTATGTTAATTTGCCTAGTAAATTTATTTGTGTCATTGAGGTAACAACTGAATGTAATAATCCTCCTGCCACCTGTCTCCTCAATTCTTGCTCAGCATCCAATATCCCTGTCAGCAGCCGTTCCCGTCGAGTCGTTGTAATGAGACTTAAAAGGCAGACAGAAGAGATTGTAGGCATTCGTAAAGCCTAATGTATGCACCCAAATGGATACACTTGTCTTATAATCACTGTTAGATGGATCTCTAGGAAGAGACCCGGTAAAGTTAATCCTATCGTCAGAATGAACACGAATAAACCCTCCTTCACCGTCAAACATGTTTACATCTAAGAGAGTAAAATTTCCTGTGTTCGTTCTGAAATGATCAGCGCTTCCTGGATGATATGAAAAGTTATCGAATAAAAAATCTTCCGTAAGACAACGAAGTATCGGAAAAGATAAAAACAAGAAAAATCCAATTCAGAGCTTCCAAAGCCCGTGAAATCTCAAAGCCCGTGTGAAAACTATTCCTTGTCCTTTCTCTTCACTCCATGTGTGTCTTCTATACCATTTAGCTTAGCTTCCGTCAACCCAAGGAGCCATTCGTCTTAAATGTTCGAATCTTTTTATTCTTCCCAAAGGCCAAATCCAAGTAAAATTTATTCCTAATAATATTTCTTCCTTATCTGGCAAGTTCTAGCGGCCTACTTACTGTCTTAAGTACCTTGAAGGAGTCATTTCCATTTTTGAACAAAAATCTTTATTAGTATTAAAACTGCTAGATTTTTAAACACTTGGTTTTATTGGCATCTTTCAATGGTAGAATCTTAAAAAGGGGTTTTGGGGTTTTGGGGTTTTGGGG